AAATCACCCATTGTGACGCTCTGAAAGCAACATTGACAGGTTTTATATGTCAAACACATACTTTACAACCTCTTCTTGTAACTTATAATTACTAACCATCATTATAACGTCTAATGATTTCATAGCTCCAGACAGTTTTTTTTATAGCAAGTGAGTAGAAGCAACCCTGTCCAAATGTAGTGATCCTCCGGCTTGGGATAAAGGATAATCGACTGTAGTCGATTGCTGGATCCGAGCGTAGATAGCCAAGTATCAGGTTCAGCAACTTGAAATTCCTTGACGCGAATACGACGAACAATGAAATATCTTGGTTCCAATAAAGGTTCCTCTTCGTTTTCGAAACCGTATCTCAGCGGCAAATCACAGTCAGTACAACAGCATGACGTACAGCCAGTATCCCTTGGGGGATGGGATGCAGTTCTTGCAGGGCTTCTTCTGTATTAGTATTGATTCCTTTTGAAACGGATAATCGCCTTCTTGGCCATCTTCGAAAATGTTAACCGGATTACTAACCAAATAAGCATAAACAACTCCGAGATAAAAAAAAACGAACGTCATGTTCGTTCACACGCGCAGCCTACTCTGATATCTCGGTTTTTCTTTAATACCCCGAAATCGGGTGAGATCCGAAATTAAAATTGAGGATAATACGGGATTGGCGCTATACGAGTTCTTCCCAATACTCCTTTGGAAATTTTTATTCGGAATTACCTCTTGAATTAATACTGAAATCTTCTCAAAATCACTATGGAATTTTATACAATTTTCTCTCCAAATTTCTTCAACGTGATTTAGCCTAAACATCTATCTTGTTTTCATGGCCCAGGATCTTATTTTCTCCCGATTTTTCATCGAAAAAAAACTGGTCACCCTGTAATATCCATCATTCTCAAATGAAATTGAGCTCTTTTATCGATGAATTTAGGTCTACTCTCCAAGCATAGTTGTCTAAAGGTATAGCATAAATCCTGATCAGAAAGAACGTTTTCTAAAAAAATATTCTGGCAGGTGATCTGGCAATAATGGAGTAGCAACTGCGGGTGGTCAATGATGCTCATGGTCATGCTCAAAGCATATTACCTTACATAATTATTAGGGACAGTGGAAATTCGCGATTTCGCGGAAGCCGCGAATTCCGCGAAATTTGGCATCGTCCGCAAAATTTAGAAAAACCCGCGAAATGCCGCGAAATTCATGAAAAAAACTAACACTGCATGTCGACCTTGAAATATTTCGTTTTGTTTTCATGCGACTTGCATGCAATACCCATGGGGTTTCCTTCTTTCGACGAGTTTCGACATTTGTGCCAATCCCCCTTTTTGACGTTTGATTGTCTTTCTCTATCTAGCACACGGGGATGCATGATTTCGTAGTTTTCTCACTATTTTTTCCATCCTTCTTGCATTTTTTCATGTGTGCGTCATTAAACGTCAAAAAGCTCTGCTTAGGAAATTCCGCTCGGTGCTGAGCTCGTTGTTTATCGCGCTATTTTGTCTAAAAACAATTGATACAAAGTGAATTTGTGATTGCGTTTCGACGTGTTGTGATAGAATCATGAAGAAAGCTGTGAACATATCGTGCCAAGACCGTGTTAAACAATACCCGCAGGGAGTTTTACATGCGGATGCCGGACAACTGTTTTGTTCCTGCTGCAACGTGACCCTGGACAACTCGAGGAAAAACTCAATCGACAAGCACCTGAAATCACAACAGCACTTGCAAAAGCTAAAAGTGCAACAGGACGAGGCTGCGCAAAAAGAAAAAAAAAACAAGCGAGTATTGTCGGAGCATTTCAGCGTCAAACGATCTCCAGAGATGCGCGAAACGTGGCACACTTCGAGTTAGTAGAGGCTTTCTGTGCCGCGAATGTACCGTTACATAAATTGGACCATCTTAAACTGCGTGAGTATCTCCAATCGAGTGTTAAAAATCTGGGACAACTACCAAATTCATCCCACCTCCGAAAGGAATACCTTTCAAAGGTATTCGATCAGAACCAAAAAGAACTTGAAGCTAGAGTTAAAATCTCAACCTCGATTGCAATCATAACAGATGTAGCCAGTGATTCACAGGATCGTTTTGTTCTACATGTAATATTTGTTCTTCCTGTTACGATCTCTGAACAGGAGAAGATGGAAGCTGTAACAGCTGATATTATTTACTTGTAACATGTCAATGCTACAACTGTGTCCCAAAGTATAATAAAAACATTGGCTAAATATGGTGTTAATTTTGATGCTGTTACAGCCTTTGTGACGGATAACGCCACTTACATGACTAAAGCTTTCGAGAATCTAAAAGGACTACTTCCGTGTTGCATTCACATGACGTGCAATGACCATATTTTGAGGGTGATCGGTGAAGTGTGGAGGAAGAGATTCCCTAGCGTTGATCGTTTAGTGGCATGCTTCAAGTCCATTTTTACTCATTCTGCCTCGAGAAAGCAACGTTGTTGAACGAGGAGTTGATGGCTGAACTTACCGGGGTTGAGAAGGACAAAGTACCGTTACCTCCCGTTCCAGTCATTACGAGATGGAATAGTTGGCTAAATGCTGTCGCCTACCATGCTGAGTATGTGAATCACTACCAAAATTTCATCGGCAACGAACTTGAAATATCAGCAGCAACAAATGCGTTGAATGAGCTACATGAATTGCTTCAGGACCGAAAACTGAGAGAGAAGATACTGTTCATCCACAAAAGTACGACCAAATTGGTTGAGCTTTTGACCTGGTTTGAAAGCCGCCATGTTCTGATACATTTAGCGTACAATAAAATCATGGACTTGCTAGCAGGTACATTAATGGAGTACTTTTTCAAAAAAATCCACTAATAATTTTTTCTTACAGTATTTTCAGACAAATCTGAAGAAAAGTCTGTACCTCGATGGCAGCGGGAAGCCTTTGCAGATGCATCGAATAAAATGAAACAGTACTATCACACACCCACAGCCACAACGCGATTCTGTCAACCTGGTTTGAAGTTTCTTCGGGCGGTTCGACTACTGGATCCCCATCAAGCGAAGTTTTTGTCTATTGATGACCTGTACGACGGGATTCCAGAGTGCACAACCAGAAAATTGACCTTGCAAGATGAACTGACAGCATACAAGCAAGCAGTACTGGAAATATGTGACAGTGTGAAACCATTGACGTTTTGGTTTTCGAATCGTAATCGTTTTCCAGAGCTTTTCAGAATAGCGATAAAGTACCTGTCAATCCCTGGAAACTCGGTTGATGCAGGACGGAGCGTAAGTCAGTACAATTTAATTAATACTTGTAGACGACAGAATATGACGGAAGATAATTTGACAAATCATGTACTTTTGGTTAATAATGCAAAGAAAGCATAAAATGTACCGTTGAATAACTGTATTTTAGTTCAATAAAGACTCATTGGTTGTTTTAGCAAAGAAAATTTCACTTTTCTACGGTATATTGAAAGAAAAAAAATCAACCGCGAAATTTCCACTTTTTCTTATTTATCGACCGCGAAATTTTGGATTTTTGACCGCGAATTTCCACTGTCCCTAAATTGATTATTAATGAAAATATCTAAATAGATTCCCAGAACATGTTTTTTTCAGTTTTTGCCACCCATGGAATAAAGGGTGTCCCACATTAAATTGCATCACGGGAAAAACGCTGTACCCATTGGGTATTTTCTCTTGAAAATTTGGGTAGAAGCAGTTTAGAGTGTATTGTCTACACTGAATTTTTGTTGTTGTCAGTTTTTCGAAAGTTGGAAAAAATGGCGTCACCCGAAAAGCAACGCCGCGAATTGATTTTGCGCAAGCACCCGGAAAATCCTCAACTCTCTCATCGGGACATCGGAAAACAACTCGGAATCGTGCAGTCAACGGTGAGTCGACTACGAAACTCTGAGCATCGAACGGAAGGAGAAACGCGGTAGAATTAATGTTCTATTAGTGATCAGGATCACAATCGTGTCGTGAAAGCGTTTAAGCGGAATCCCAATGCTTCGGTCAGGGATGTGGCCAAAAAGTTAAAGCTGTCCAAGTCTTTCGTTCAGAGAGCAAAGGACCGGGAGGGACTGCATACGTACAAAGTGCAGAAGGCTCCAAATCGTGACGAATGGCAAAATACGGTGGGAAAGTCACGGGCCCGGAAACTGTACACCCAGATGCTGACGAAGCCTCATTGTCTCATCATGGATGATGAGACTTACGTCAAGGCGGACTTCCGGGTCTGGAAGCAGAAGGAAGCAGAAACTTTCTAAGTTTGCGATTTGGCAAGCGATCTGCTCATATGGCAAACGGAGTGCGCCGTTTGTGATTACCGGAACTGTAAACGGGGAGATCTACCTCAAGGAGTGTCTACAGAAGCGTCTGCTTCCTCTGTTGAAGCAACACGAGGGCCCTACGATCTTCTGGCCGGATCTAGCTTAGTGCCACTATTCAAATGTTATCCTGGAGTGGTACGAAGCTAACGGGGTCACTTTCGTACCCAAGAACATGAACCCCCCTAAACGCACCGGAACTAAGGCCCATCGAAAAATACTGGGCTATTATGAAGCAGGCACTACGGAAGCATCCCTAGGAGATCAAATCTGAGGAAGACATGAAGAAAAAGTGGGTTTTCGTACAGAAGAAGCTTGCAACCAGAAGTTGTACCTACAGAACCTAATGAGTGGAGTTAAGCGTAAGGTATTCTTTCCGTTATGCAATTTGATATGGGACACCCTTTAGCTCTGTATCATCCTGTGAGCAACACAAAACGTTCAATCAAACTACCCGCGAAAACCCAAACCTTGCGAATTCTTCTCTTTCTTTCATTTCAGTCAACTGGAAGCAGAATGCATTATGCAAAATAAAACTGTACAAAACGGAAAAATTTCGACTGCTCAGGCCAAATGCAATTTTGTGTTTAAACTTCATTCTACTACCGCAAAGCGGTTGCTGATTCAGGCAAGTGTGCAAAACCACTCTTACTGCTAATAGTTTTAATACCACCACGTGGGCGTCGTCGCAAGGTACTTACACCAATCGACTGCATCTTGGCGTTCTCGTGGGCCCGCTTGATGGCCACGAATGGCCGCTCGGTCGAGTTTGTCCTCGTGTGTGTCGTCGTTAGTGTGTGATAACTGCGTTCGTTTCGCACCGGCGACAAAGTTTGGCTACGTCTGTGCGTCGTGCTGGTGTTGTACGGCGTTTCGGCGGCGTTGGTGGGGAATGCAGGGCTGCCATAACTATAACTGTAACGAGTTACAAGAGGTGCGGGGAGGGGGGAGGGGGGGTCGGTTAAATAGAATCAATGTGTTCTTGTGCACCGATATGGTGCTGCATTACATACCTAAAGCTATTTGAATGTTCTCGTTTCTGTTGTTCCTTTCTGGCACGTAGCTTTTGCTGCTGAAGCTGAAGCCATGTCTGGCCGGAGATTCTGCAAGAGAGATCAAAAGCAAACGGTGTTTGTTAGGAAATGGCACTTTTTTTTGCTTGCTTTCTTGCTTGTGATGAATGGTTTATGGTTTCCCAAACGCGAGACACTGCTGAATTTGTAATTGAGACAACATGACATGGTGTCATGTTGCGAAAGCCCAAGCGGTTGCTCATATTGGGGTTCTGCACCGTCCGTTAAGTCGGCTAAGAGTTTGCAAACTTTCAACCTGTGGACAGTTTGCAAGTTGTGCGTCGTCGTCGTTACCGTCCTACGCAGTTTTCTTAAAATGGTCGGTCGGTCGGTCGGTCAATGACAAGACAGGTTCGTTAGTCTCGAACGACATTCAATTACAAATGATTGGATTACACAGAAATTAATGTCGTAAATTTGTCGCCTCCACGTTTCCGCTTCACAGTGCGTTACGCATTCGCTTAGAGTAGCTTTGCTTTGTTTGCGATTCCCTGGCCTAATATTATATGGTTTAGGAGGAATTACCTACCGGAAAAAGCGGGGAAACACGGGATGGATGTCGCAAAATGTAAACATTTTTCTTTAACAAAAAAAAAATGTCATCCGCCTATTAATATTAATCTCGGAGCGGGAACAAGCAATAACCTGCTTCGCTGAATGTGTGTTTTTGATGGCAATTGTGATTTCTCAGGAACCCAAACAAAGTCTATCTCTGACTAGAGCGGGTGTTGTTTGTTGTCGTTTGTTGGACGTCTTAATTTTTCTATTTTGAGCAATGGGTATTTTTAGCCGTTTTGAAGTGTAGTGGTTTTATTTCTTGCGTAAGAGTTCTCCCCTTGTTGGTTAAAAGGTGAGAAAATCTGATCTGGTGGCGTTTTTTATTTCAGTGTTGGTCAAGTGTACCAGGTTATGATCTTGACCGTGGAAAGTCTGGTTCAGTGGATGATCAGCTTGTTGGTGTTGGAGATATCATAGGTAACAAAGGTAAATCTAGATAATGATGAATGTGGTATTGGTATTTATAATTGATTTAAGATTGATCAAATCCCATTTTAAATTTACCGAAATTGACAAAACATTGAATTTAGTTAAGTTTCAATTAAGGGGAAATGACGGCTTCGGCATGACAGACTATTTTCGGCAACCAAAATTGAAACACTATTTTCACTGGATTTTCTTACGAAAACACTTCGCTGAATGCATGCAAACGATTCTTTTTGCTTTCAGCTTCAATTTGACTATATTTTTACCACTGAGAAAAAGCAATCTAGCAGAGTTTTCTTGAAATGAAACACACGCACTACAAATTGTAGCTGATTTCGAGTTGCCGATAATAGAACAGCAGATTTACATGCAGTTCAAATGGAACGGTTGCCGAAGAAAAACTGGTTGCCGACAATACTCGCTCTCACTAGAGAAGATTGGAGCTTTGAAAATGCGTTTCAAAACAGTTTTTGACAATTCTTTCGATTGAAATTGTTAGAGCAGCTGGCAGCAAAAGATTGTAAACAAACCAATACTGCATATGTGTGCGTTCCTTAGAGAAAAAGGCTATAGAAAGAAGGTCGCTGCTTAGGTTGCCGAGAATACGTAAATTCCCCTACCTACATCATGTAAAAAATAGCAACGTCGTATATGCGTCATCAATCTATCCATTGAAGATATTGACGGACAACACGAGTAAGCAACAAACCTGCTTTTTTTGCAACTAAAAATCTGCTATTCGACTAATATAAAGTGCAAAAACTCTATATTTATCTCATATTGACAAAAGGGAAATGCGTGGGCTAGTTGGTTACTTGGGAATGAAGTTGCTTTACCAAATTTTGAGCTGGATTTAACACTATTTTTAGAAGTGTTATTTTAAATAAATTTTGATGATGTCAACCAATGCATGAATTAGTATATAGTATGACAAGAATCATTTCCTCGGCCGGAATGGGAATCAAACCCTCCACCTCCGGCTTGGTAATACCGTGCCTTTACTGACTAGGCTGTTTGAGGCCCTCAGCAAGCATTACTACCGATAATAAGACAGCATTGCTAATGCTAAAAGCCTTTATACAGCACTACCTATATGAGCATTAAGCTGGGTTTTAACTAAAGCCCTACAGTAAAAGTATGGACGACTGACACCACAAAACTGAAAAAAGCTGTTCCAATCGAGCAAAGCGGTGCATTTTGACGGTTCGATTGGAACAACTTTTGACAGACGTTTTGACAGACGTCCATACTTTTACTGTAGGGCTTTAGTTTTAACAGGGCAAGTCAATTGATCAAGTCAGTTGAATTCAACTGACTTGAACGCGAATCGAACGTGTAAACCATGCCATTCAACTGACTTGATCAACTCACTTGAATTGAAAAAAGTTGAACCAGGCTCAACTTTGCAAGCCAATTGAATTCAACTGAGTTGATCATTTGACTTGCCTAGTCTAAACCCAGCATTATAGATGCTTTTGAATTAGTTGGTGTTGATAAGACCAGTAGCGTTTTATTACTCAAACAGCTCAATCTTTTGCTAAAGTCGCCTTAACATGTGTCTATTTGAGTTGCATGCGAATGCTCTGCTGATGTGTATTGCTCACTAATGCAACGCGACACAATGGTGTATACATCGAAACTTTTTTTTTCATGGGTATTCCATAGCTGTCAAACCCCCGACCAGCGTTGCCAGGCTGCAAGATTTATCTGGCACAGCCAGAGAAATTTTAGCTCTGCCAGACAGATTTTTTGATAAATCTGGCAGCTTCCTATGTTAATTTGCTGTGCCAGATTTTTGCCAGACATTTTTTTCGGATTTTCCCAGATTTTTTCAAAATAAGCCTGGCATCTCTGCCCCCGACATTCAGTTTGAATTAAAAACATACAGTCAAGATTCCTATAGTACGGTTAATAGGGACCGTACTATAGGAACCGGCATTAACGAATACACGTAGCATATGGGATTAGAGCAAACACTGATTGTACGGCAATTTGACGAGATAACTTCCTGTTGTCTTCTGAGAAGTTGTTAAGCAGAAAGTTGGCCACCTTTTGGGACGATTCAGTCTCCGGTAGTCTGATCCGGAATATCCGTAAAAGTGGCCAATTCATGAAACTGATCCTAGTGCTCTCCGGACTTTTCGAAACCACTCATAATCGTCTTATCAGAATGTTTCGGAGTTGTGTTCGGAATATGGACTCTGGAGACCACGGGATTGTTCACCAGAAGATCCGGAATATTCGTAAAAGTGGCCAATTCATGAAACTGATCCTAGAGCTCCGCGGATTTTTCGAAACCACTCATAAACGTCTTATCAGAATGAATTCGGAGTTGTGACCGGAATATGGGCCCTGGGGACCACGGGATGGTTCACCGGAAGATCCGGAACATCCGTAAAAGTGGCCAATTCATGAAACTGATCCTAGAGCTCCACGGATTTTTCGAAACCACTCATAAACGTCTTATCAGAATGAATTCGGAGTTGTGACCAGAATATGGGCCTGGGGATCACGGGATAGTTCACCGGAAGATCCGGAACATCCGTAAATGTAGTCAATTCATGAAACTGATCCTAGAGCTCCACGGATTTTTCGAAACCACTCATAAACGTCTTATCAGAATGTATTCGGAGTTGTGATCGAAAAATGTACCCTGGGGACTACGGGATGGCCCAATAGAAGTTCCGGAACATCCGTAAAAATGGTCAATGCATAAAACTGATCCTAGAGCTACGCGGTTTTTTTCAAAACCACTCATAGACGTCTTATCGGAATGTATTCGGAGTTGTGTTCGGAATAAAGACTCTGGAGACTACGGGATGGTCCACCGGAAGATCCGGAAGATTCGTAAAATAGCTCAATTCATGAAACTGATCCTAGAGCTCCGCGGTTTTTTCGAAACCACTCATAAACGTCTTATCAGAATGTATTCAGAGTTGTGACAGGAATATGGACCCTGGGGACTACAGGATGGTTCATCGGAAGATCCGGAACATCAGAAAAATGGCCAATTCATGAAACTGATCCTAAAGCTCCGTGGGTTTTTAGAAACCACTCATCGACACCTTATCAGTTGAGTTCAGAATATGGACTCTAGAGACTACGGGATGGTCCACCGAAAGATCTGTAACATCCTTAAAAGTGCTCATTTCATGAAACTGATCTTAGCGCTCCATGGTTTTTAAGAAACCACTCATAGACGTCTTATCAAAATATCCGGAACATCCGTAAAAGTGGTCAATTAATTAAACTGATCCTAGAGGTCCGTGGTTTTTTAGAAACTACTCATAGACATCTTATCAGAACTTTCGGAGACGAACCAGCCCAGTGCTGAAAGTCTCCTAACCTAATCTTATCAGAATGAATTCGGAGTTGAGTTCAGAATATGGACTCTGGAGACAACGGGTTGGCCCATCGGAACATCCGGAACATCCCTAAAAGTGCTCAATTCATGAAATTGATCCTTGAGCTCCACGGAGAAGTATGACTTCAAATCGACAGGCAAGTGTGCGCTTGACTTTGCTCATATGCTGTCTGCGGCTGTTGAATAGTTCTAGAAAACAGAATACGGTTGGCTGATTGGCTAAAAACTTTGGATTTTTTTAGTTTTGGTACAAAACTAGTAGGCCCACCTATTTTGGTTCAAATCGGAGAGGGTCGATGCATTGGCTCGGTCACTTGAGATGCTACGTCTTCTTCTTCTTCTTCTTCTTCTTCTTCGCATTTCAAGCTTATTGCATATTGCATATTAGCTTATTGCGTGCTCTCAACTTAGTGTTCTAGATGCACTTCCACAGTTATTAATTGAGAGCTTTCGATGCCTGTACCATTTTTGCATTGGTATAATTGTGTGGCAAGTCCAATCATACTTCTATGCCCAGGGAAGTCGAGAAATTTTCCTACCCGAAAAATTCCTAGACCGGACCGGGAATCGAACCCAGCCACCTCCAGCATGGTCTTGCTTTGTAGCTGTGCCTTTACCGACTGAGCTAAGGGAGACCCCTACCCTGAGCTAAGGGAGATGCTACGTGTATTCCTTAATGATT